AAATGACAATGCAGCACAACCCAACCTTAAGAACTTAATTATTAACATTACATATGCAAACAAACAAAAAGAAAAGAATGATGATGAATGGAGGCTAGATGGAATCAGTGAATAACCATCTAAAAATCTACATGCTTTCCAGTTAACTTACAAACATAAAGTCCGGGGGCACAATCGGCCCGGCAAAGACTCCAAACTGGCCAACTGGGTGGCTTTGGAAAATGAGAAGGAGGGCATACATTTTTGGACTTTCAACTGTATTAAGTTTTACAGCTTTTCCTCCTGATAAACACCTCCCCCACGGCCATTCATACTATGCCAAAGTAATAAAGTAATAAAGTGTGGTTAAACTTCTTATTACTGACAGAAAGGGAAGTTTTACTCGTTCAGCCCGCTCAAGACCAAAGTGGGTTGTTTGTGGCCCACAATGTAAAAGGAGTTTGACATCCCAGGCTTGCATCCTTACTAACAATAAAGAGAGATTAACTTCTATTTTTTTAATCTGTATGTGTTGTATTCATTTTTTAATACACCAAAATAACCATCAAAACAAAGACCTTAATCTTATAAACCTGTGACTAGCATTTACTAGTGTCCATTTAGGCCCTTTTAACTGCTGACATGGTAGCATACAGACAGCACTCCAACTAAATTGTCTTGAACAAAAGCCAGATGGCTCTGCTTTTATGAAAAACCTTATTAAGTTCAATTAAAACTCCAAGACCCCCACCTCTCCCCAGTCATTCAGCTGATTGTGGGACAGGTCGAGCTCTACCACGTGGGCGCAGGAAGCAGCGATGTCTTGCCTGTCGCCGGCTTTACTGATTCCACTGTCATTCAGAACCAGTGCGCTGGGCAAGAAGAGGCGATCTGCAAACAGGAAACTCGAGTCAGTTCAGAGCCTCATTCACAGCTCAACACTCCAAATAAAAAGGCAGATATGCCGGGCTGAACTTATCACAAGTGATACACTGCTCACGTGGCATCATCACAGCCCTGAAATAGCTCGCTCTGTCATCTCTCACCTTTGACAGGGGATCCTGGAGGCCTGGGCAGAACAACCACTCCTACGCCTTGGCCATAGGGGAAATTCTCAGGGTTATACTTCTCACTGAGGACTTGAACAAAGGTGCGCACCTCATCTTCATCAGAGGACTCCATGGCTCAAGTCCTGAACAGGTATCCATGTAAGAGACCAAAGGGGAAAAAAAAGACGCTTTTAAGATATGCTATGGAAACATGACAATTACATCAGGACTCTACTCTGGACATTTGTCATTCAAAGCCCACATATGCAAAACAAATTGAGTGAGCATTTTCAGAAACATGACAACAGTGGAACCAGGTGAACTAGTACCACCAGCAAAACTATTAGAACTATAGTGGCAGCTTCCCTGAAGCATTTTAGAGTTTCAAGTATTTTGTACACAAAAAAAAAAATCACCTTTCTATCACCTATAACAGGGGTGGGGGAACTACAGGCCTCAAGGGCTGGTGTCCTGCAGGTTTTAGATAACACCCTGGGTCAGCACACCCGAATCCAATGATTAGTTCATTGCCAGGCCTCTGGAGAACTTCAAGACATATTGAGGAGGTAATTTAGCGATTTAAATCAGCTGTGGGAGTTCCCCACCCCTTACCTATAGGTATTAGTGGCCTGTAGCTAACAGGAAAGCCATGTGCAGTGGTGGGCAATTAATTTTCTCCACAAGTTCACATGAGAATCTGAAAATGTTGTGCAAGGTTTCACCAATAAGTTCAGAAAGAGATGAAATTAAATACTGAGTTTACCTAATTGGTGCCGCCTTCCACAGCACTCCCAGTTTCTCATGTGGACCCTTGGGGAAAATTGCCTATGCTTGGTGGACGTGCTTTAAGCCTGCTGTCTTTTAAATGGTCACCAGGGGGCGATAGCAGTGGTTCCACAGTCATTGTTCCACCTCAGTAAGCACTTTACTGACAAGTTCACAGATCAATCACTAATTTCGGCTCATATTGAATAAAAAAAATCAGTTCTACTTTGTAATTGCATGTGATTCGAAAGCTCAAATTAGATTTCTTGAATCTTTGCAGAGCCTGTAGACAAGTGGCTGACACCACGCCGAAATGTAGTTACAACAGAGTTTCATAAGGGTATATAATTATGACGTACCTATGGTGTAGATTTAGCACATAAGGATTACTCGGGGTATGAACATTGATTAATCACTTGTGATTGCTCCAAATCCTGTTATGGCCAACTAGTGCCTGTGCATGGCATTTTCCCCATAGTATTGGGTTGTCCTTCATTCAAAGTGCTAAACAAAGGGACACAAATGTGCTACCACTGACTTCCACTTTAACCACCTCAAACTTTAGTCCTGCTCCTCCTGCTGGCTGACACTTCTTGTCTATGTTTTACCTTTTTCTGTGCACGTGTTAAAAGATAAAAATAAAAAAAAGGTCTAAAAATAACCCACGAACATCACAGAATAACCTACAAGTCACAGACAGCTGAAACGTGAGAGGCACAGCAGCACTGAGGAGAGCAGGTGCACAGCTGTCAGCAAAGCCACCTGTTCCTACTGAAACCCATTTTCTGCTATGATTACAATTTCTGTTGCCATTTTTGCTGTAAAATGATTAATCTGATGAGTAATTGTTTAACTCAATCCAGAGAAAATGTAGCTTTTTCAATGTGTGGATTGGTTTAGAATCCATAGACAAAAAACCCCTCCATGGAAGGCTCAATAACTGGTAATCATACATCACAATAACATACATTCTCGACCCTGCCTGTCCACCTTGCACTCAACAGCCTCACTTTAACCCCGATCAGCCCTATCAGTTTCAGACAAACGGAGTCTGATCATCTTAAACTGAGCCCACCTGAAGTGTGTTTGTCAAAAGACTGAGTGTTTCATCCGGACTCTGTCTGATGTTTCTGTCATAGATCGTTTCTCATTACACAGATCCCACCTGATTCTTACCTCTGATGTAGCAGAGACCAAAGGAAAGATTGTTTTCAACACCACATCAGATCACATGCCTCGGTCCCTGCTGTGAGAAAATGACGAGAAACATAAGCAGGGAAAACTTATTTTTAAGCTTGCAGCCGTAAAATAGCCAGAATATGTGAAAAAAAAATGCAAAGAAAGACAGAGTTGACACCACATCAAAGGTGGTGAAACTTGCATTTATGTGACAAACAAAGGAAAGGTAAGCTGACAGTTGGGTGCTTGAGACGAAAACAACTGTTTATGTGGTATAACTGGGGAGCAGCCAAGCCCTGAAGCCATGCACTGAAATGAAAAAGTTCTAATGGACATATGTCATGACTAACCTGAGGTCATTGTTTTGTACAGTTTAAACACACACTTTTAAACCCCTGTTATAATTTGTTACTTTTTTCTGGAATCTTTTTGTTTCAAATGTTTTTTCAGCACCATTTGCTCAGTTCGGCGTACATAATGGGCAGGAAGTTAGATTTTGTAATGTATAAAAAGTTAAACATTATCAGCTGCTCGCTACTGCTCACAGCGGTGAAGTTCAACCTGCAATGCTACGAAACTGTCAATAAAGATGACGTTTTTCAGGAAATAACAAACAACGAAATGGATTAATGCTACCCGAAATGAACGTCAACCCACAAAGAGTCATAAAAAGGTCAAAAGTCTTACTGTAAACCTTGCACACAGTTGCTGATACGCGAAGCTATTTTAAACAGATATATTTTTAACAGGGTCCGGGGAAACGGTGTTACAGTCAGATAACGAGCGTCGCTTCGTGGGGTGGGGGGCTGACTGCTCAGACGGAGGCCTAGCTGTATGATGTCGCTAGCTTAAGGATAATAAACTGGAAGCTGAGATTGTAACAGTGCAACCTGGTGTGTTTGAACATTTTAGCACAGCACGAGCCAACGACACTACTGCCTACCTCCAAAAAGCGTTCAACACGTTGGCTGTAAATTCAAATCGGTAAAAACATTTCTTTGAGTGTTGGATCAAACTCACTATCTGGGCCTCCAAACTTAGCGACACGGGTCACTGCGCGTGCTCCATTTGGCACCTGATACGGTACATTTTTGAGAGTGCAGAACTCACCTTTGGCAGAACCCCCCTCTGCGGTTGGGTTGTTTTTGTTGTTCTTCGGTTAGTTGACAGCTTAAACCACGCCCACTCTACCGGAAGTTACGTAGTTTAAATATCTGTTTTTTTTCCTCTCGTCTTCATACGAGAATTGCTTCATATTGGGTTATTTTCTTTAAAACGGAACGGAGCTAAGAATACATGCTAAGTATTAACTTATTATTATTTTATTTTATTTATTTTTTAGCGAGTCTTTTTTTACGATTTTTTTTGTAGCTGGTTACTTTAACGGACAATTTTTTTTGTTTACTGATTACGGGCAGTTTTTTAAAAGCTGAGTTCAATTACTCCCACGCCTGGTTATAGCCCGACCTTGTTGAATCAAGGAAGCCAGTTTGACGAAGTTGCAGCCTCTCTGAAAGGGTAACAGATCTATTTCTAAGGCTTTGGGACTCCAGTGAAGCACTGTGAGAACCCCAAAAGTTGATTCTGTTTATCTGGACGTCCATATGAACAGAAACAACTTTTGGGGATTTACTTATCTGGATGACTGAGCATGCATCAAGACACTGTGAGAGCCATTATTCACAAATGGAGAAAAGTTGAAATGCTGACGAACCTGGCCTAATCAAAGTCTGCACTTAAATCCTTTTAAGATGTATTGAGATGATATTTAACAGGCCGTTCAAGCTTGAAAAATCTCCAGTGTAGCTGAATTAAAACACTTCTGCAAAGAAGAGTGGGCGAAAATTCCTCTACGGCGATGATAAAGACTCATTGCCATTTATCACATATGCTTATTTGCAGTTCTTGCTGCCAAGGGTGGCACATTTAGCAGGGTTTTTCCACACAGGGCTAGGTTTGGATATTTTTTCTTTCCTTGAATGAATGAAATGTTGAAATGTTTTTTTATGATCTAAAACATTTAAACGTGACAGAAATGCAAAACCCCACCCCCCAATAATTAATTAGGTATTGGGCAAATACTCAGATCACTGTATGTATAAAATATATTTTATAAAACATTTATATACAGTCTGCGGTGTATACCAATGCTTTAACACTCATGTAGTTAAAAAAAAACAACACGTTTTTAATGATGTGCATAAAGTGATGGGAACTGACACACGTTTATCACATAAAATAAATTATTCACTATGACTGTACATTAACGACATGTGTATGTTAGATTTAAGTTCACTTATAAAGCCAGAATAGTTTTGATTTATGATTACTGTACAACATTGCTTACATTTTTGCCTGCACAGCAATAACTCCTAATAAAGTTCATGCCATTAAATGGCATTTAATCAAACTAGTTTTCAGTTCTCTAACTTTATATAACTGGCAAAAGAATAAAAGGCATGTGTCTTTTAGTGAGTTCATTTTTTTCTTCATTTAGAGTATCACCTGCAACATGAATATGTCAGCGTCACTGGAGTTAACAGGCCTACATAATGTTGCCACCAGATGGCAGCCATGAAGTTTTGTGGGCTCCTGTGGAAGAGAGAAGTTTATGAGTTGTGTGAAGCCAGCAGGGTATCAGTTCACCCTCAGCTCCTTTTCTAATATAGATCCGAAATATATGTGACAATGAGGCTCATGCATGAAAACGTTAACATTAAAAAGCAGTGGTTGAAGATGTGTTTAGGTCGTCAAGACCAATGTAAGAATTTGAAAATGCTCCATGCAGGTGAAAGCCCTGCATTTAGAACATCAGGCCATTACAAGGTAAATCTACTTTTCTGTCAACATCTAAAGTATTCATTCTGCAGGAAAACTGAAAAAAATGTATCACTATGCAGTGTAACGCTATTAGATTTACACAGTGCAGCACAATGCTCCACTGGGTGAGTGGGGCCTTTATGGGCCTGACTTGCCTCTCTGTGCCTCTGTCGGTTAATTTTCTTCAGTTTTCCTCACACAGTTCAAAAACATGCATTTTAAGCTGAGTGCATTTGAGTGTGCCTACAAGATTGAATTTTATCATCATGCCACATGACAGCTTTAAAAAAATTAACAATACAGCAGATGATGGGATATCCTTACTTAAGAAAAAAAAGGCAAATGGATGAATAAGTCATCACAGTGATCGCTATCAGTCATTGATTATCGACAGTAGGCTCTTACTGAGCTCTCATATTTTTCTTT